GAACTAAAGGCAACCAAGAAGAGCCACCAGAAGTCAAGCTGGATGTGCCCAGCAAGTGATCACTACACAGCATACACGGTTCCTAAGAAGAAACCTTTTTGGATAGAGAATGTCTTGAATTCCAAGGACAAGGAGTCCTATAATCACAAGGTCCAGCAAATCAGGCTACCCTCAAGCAGTGCTGAGATGAGATAAAAATGTATTCAAGGACCAAGAATGTTCTGACTTCATTCCCCCTGTTAAAACCCGAGATACAAGAATCCTGATGTCTTCATTAAGGGTTTTATTGCTGTGGTAAGAATACAACTAGTCACATGTGGTAGTGCAAACCTGTAATCCTAGCATTCCGGGAGGAGAGGCAGGCAGATCTCTGTGAGTTCAAGGCCAGCCTGGTATACAAAGCAAGTCCAGGACAGACAAGGCTACACAGAGAAATCCTGTCTTGAAAAACACAAACAAACAAACAAACAAACAAACAAACAAAAACCAAACCAAACCAACCAACCAACCAATCAAACAACTAAAAGCAGCTTGGGGAGGAAAACATTTATTATATTTCCACATTATAGTCCATCCCTGAAAGAAGTCTAGGCAAGAGCTCAAACAGGGCTGGAACCTGGAGGAAGGAGATGATGCAGAGGCCATAGGAAGTATGCTGATTACTAGATGTACCTCGTGGCTTGCTCAGCCCGTTTTCCTGAAGTACCAAAGGCCATCAACCTATGGAAAACATTACCAAATACAGCAGGGGCCTCCCACATCAATCATTGATTAAGAAAATGCAACAAAGGCCTGCTTATAGGCCAGTTTTAACTAGTGCATTTTCTCAATTGTGGCCCACCTCTTCTCAGATGGCTAAGTTTGAGTAAAGTTGACAAAACCCAACCAGAAAAACTGACCCCTTATTTACCTGACACACAAACTATAACTTATTATGGTATACGCTTTCCTTTTTTGGCATCTGCAAGGTTTCATATTTATAGAAGTATCACAATATAAAATATCCCAAGTTTTAAAAGTCCCATAGTCTTTAAAAATTCAAACACTTTAAAAGTTTACTTTCTTTACAATATCCAAAGTCTCTTTAAGAGATCAGTGGCTTTCTAAAATTCTAAAGTTCCTCAGCTGTGGACTCCTGTAAAAGCAAAACTAGGTTACATATTTTCTTGTTGTAAGATGGTAGAACCAAGGCAATGCCACAATCTAATCAAAGCAAAGGCAAACTCACACAGTGTAAGGCATTCAGTTTTTGATATCTGGGACTCATTGACAATCCTCTGGTCTTCAAAGGCCATGGAAGCAGGATTTCTGGGGCTCTGCCATCCATAGCACACACGGCTTGTCTCGTAGGCTCAGGCCGGGTCTACTCCATACCTGCGCTGTTCTTCGTAGTCATCCCTTGTTACTAGGATACTCAAAGTGCTGGGTGTCCAGTGTACCTGCACTATTCCCCCTTCCACAGTAGTCTTTCTTGGGCTCTCCTCAGGGACTCTGACCCTGCCTCATGGTGCCCAAGTCTCAGCCTCTCTCCAAGACCCTTTTAGTCCTGTTCTTTTCACTGCCACTGAGGTGGCACCATTACCAATGGCCTTTCCTAGCTTCTCACAGTGCCAAGGTTCAGTTTCTCTCCAAAACTAATATCATCTGAAAGACTCAGTTCACCAACTTTGGCTGACAGCATGAGGCATAATCTTGGTGACCTCTAGAAAATTACTTCTGTGTGGTGACTCTGAGGAAATACCCACAGATTTAAGGTTCTCAATAATACTATTTGCTCCTTCTTTTTATTCTTTTATTGAAAATAGATTCTTTTCTCATACAGTATATCCCAGTTATAGTTTTTTCCTCTTCTTCTTCCAGTTTCTTTTCACCTCTCCTCCCCTCCAGATCCATTCCACTTTTGTCTCTTATTATGAAAGAACAGGTTTCTAAGAGACAGCCTCCATCTATGAAAAAAATAATAATGTGAAGCAAAAACTATCATATCAAAGTTGAACATAACAACCCAACAGGAGGAAAAGAGACTTAAGGGCAGATGCAAGTGTCAGAGACCCACATGTCCTCACAGTCAGGAGTCTCACAAAAAAACACTAGGCTAAAATCTGTAATATGTGCACAGAGGACCTAGTTCTTCCTTCTTTATATACATCTTGTGCTTGTTTCTTCAGTTTCAGTGAGGTCATATGTTTCTTCCTTGATTCAGAGAGCCTTGTTCTCCTGATGTCCTTCATTCCCCCGGGCTCTTATATCTCCATGGGATTTCATGAGCTCTTGGGGGAGTGATTTAATGGAGATCTCCAATCTAGACTTTTTTTCCCTCCATGTACTGATTAGGGTCTCTGCATCTGTTTCCATTTGCTGTCAGAAGAAACCTCTCTGATGACTGGATAAGGCCCTGAGGTATGAGTATAGCAGATTAGTATTAGGAGTCATTTTATTGTTTTTTTTTTTTTTTTTTTTTACCAGTAGTATTTGTTTTTAACAAATACTGTATAGTCTCTGGTTCTTGGTTGCCCTAGCCATGTCTGGTTATAGGTTCCTTCTTATGTAATGGGGCTTAGGTCAAATCAGACATTGGTTGGCTATTATAAGCTCTGTGGTACCATTGATCTAGCATTGCTTTTCAGGCAAGACAAATTATAGGTCAGAGGTCTTGTGGCTGGGTTGGTGTTTACTTTTCTCTTTTGGTAGCCTACAGAGCACCTTCCAGCACCAAAGACACTAGAACCCAGGAATGAAAGGCACTATGTAGGCACTAGCTCCACTTCTCCATGTTGAATGAGTTGTGTGGCAATAGGGCCCTGTTGTAAATCAGCCTTGTGTCTCATCAGCAGCCAGGGTTGTTTGGAGATTTCCATGGAAACCCCT